AAATATCTAGCCCTTTAGTTCTCTCTGATCACACGCCGATTACAGGTCGAGTTTCCACCGATGACGTTAAGTAATGTTTTCATAAAAATACTAATGTCCGATGTGAATCCACTGAAGTTAAATGGTTTGTAATGTTCGAATTTCATAAACATTCCTGGTCAAATATCTTAAGGTTCCCGATTAATAAGAGTTATAACAATCACAGTTATAGCTTCCGAAGTTTATAGCACACCAACTACAGCAAACCAATAATAGATACTGTTTTTGGGTGCGTCGAGTTGGTTATATTTATAAGTGTGTGGAGAGTTTCTCGAAATTTCAGTTTTACGTAACAATACTGACGATAACACTAGCTTTTACGTACACACATATATTTTTGATTTTTACACTCGAGAATCTTCTACAACTTCACAGACTAGGCGGGAGTTTCCAAATACAGATTTAAGAATATAAGTTATGTACATTTCTAAATATAAATTTAATTTAAGCAGACATCTATATTAAAATAAATATATAATAATAAATCCGTCACAGTGGTAAAATACATCAACCGAAAGGGTCCAAAACTGTAATTTGATCTCAAATCAGTCAAGAGATGACGGAGCTATGAGCTAAAAGTTTGTACTTAAAAAAACAAAAAATACTTGTGCTTCGTTAAGAATTTATTATTAGCTTTAACATGCAAGACCAAATTAAGTATTGGTTTTTATTATCATGACCTTTGACATACATGCATAAATTATAGCGGAAAAGCCCCTGTGTAAGCCAAGACCTTCGTACGAATTCGACTCAATTTCAAGTAAGTTTCTAAGACAAAATAATAGACTAACATAATAAAGCCACACAGTCGTTGCACTTAGATATGCATTTTTCAAAACTTAACTTATTAATCGCTACGGTTATGGAAAAGTATCATTGATAAGAATGGGGACTATTTCATTTAATAAATGTTTTGTTTCGATATATAAGTTGTTCGGGTTTTTTCGTATAAAACTAAACGACATTAATTTCTTGACGACCTAATAGATACTATTTCATGTGCAACCTGCGAACAGCGAGTTTGAATACCCGTCACTGTATATACTCGCCCTTTCAGCCATGGGGGTATTATATTGTGATGATCAATCCCAGTATTCATTGGTAAAAAAGTAGCCCAAGATCTGGCGGTGGGTGGTGTTGACTAATTATCTTCCTTCTAGCCTATTACTTTTAAATTAGGGACGGCCAGCGCAGATAGCCCCCGAGTAGCTATGTGCGAAATTCAAAAACAAACAAACAAACTAATTATTTAATGTCTTTACTTACACGATTTTTGACATCTTCTTTTGCTGAGGTAAGAGGACAGCAAAAGTATCTATGCAAACTAAAAAGTAAGCAAATTTGAAATACAATGTAGAGTATCACACACATACGCACTCGATTAGTTTTATAAGTTGTGTCAAAGGTCGAAAACAAATATTTATATCTAACGAACTGAACACTTGCCACAAACTAGTGATCAGAAGTTGAACTTTCTTTTTTCTTGTCCAAATTCTATCACGTTCAGTCGACTGGTGAAAATTTGTTTATCAGATACAGTGTGTCATAAGTAGAGTAACGTAAGAATATACTTGTTTATTAGATGCAATGTCTCATTAGTAGAGTAGCGTAAGAATGTATTTGTTTATTTGATACAATGTCGAAACATTTTCTGGAAATAAACAAGCTAAAATTATGTATCTAAATAGCTTTAACCGTTGAACACGTCTCCATGTTTGCATTATCTGTTTATATATTTGTTAGGTGGAGGAGGTTATAGCTTTTACAACAGGATTTGCGAATTTATATGAAAGTTTAGAGAATATAATAGGATACAAGAAAATACAAAAGTATTTATGTGTGGACTGTTACATAGGCTACAGGGACTTGTTTACTCTTTTTTCACACTAACACAATAAACAAAGTAATAACAAATAAAACCTCATATTTCAAAATAATTTAACTTGAAACCTACTTGTCCTAGAGAAAATAAATTACACCAAAAACACGTTGGGGAGCATAAGTGTTATTCCGATAACTTTGAGTGTAGTCAGTGTTTTAGTAAGGTGTACAACATTCTCTCTGTCATTCGCAAGCAGGATATCGTTTCCATCTCTTAATGAAGCCACTAGAAGAATCACCTGTTCAATGATCCTCAAAATACCCTTTCTAATGGACTTTTTGAGATCCTTCAAATTTTCTGGGCTATTCAGATGGACGTAACCTTTAAGCTAAAAATCTGCTGACTTAACATTTGGTAATCTCGCTCCTTTCTCCCTGACTGAACAAATTATTATTCTGTCTTCTGTGAAACCTTTTTACGGGACAATAGATACGAGGAGTTGTCCGAACTTCTTACAAAGCACTGTTCATTAAATGCTAGTTTGCAAAAAAAAGTGATTTGGTTATGAAGTACAATTGTGGTTTTGAAGCATCTTGCATCACGTCCATAGTTTGCCGAATAAAGCTTATGATTCTCAAAGTTCAACTAGTGATAATAATTTATAAATAATAAGTTATAATTATTTTAGTATATTTATAGAAGTGGCATATGGATACATATAAGAATTAGTATTTAATGCAGTTAAACATTTACCTGAAGTGTAAAGAGTAAAGAATCATATATAGAAAGTTGAACGGTTCCTGAAAATCAGATTTACATCTCAAACTAAAGCGACAGTAAAATGTACTGTTATGTTCATTGAATATGAACTTCAATAAAACTCAAATAACACAACTTTCTCACTTTTGCTTCTTTAATTAATTGCAAAAGCATTAAGATTTGAAGTAGAAAAATCTGCTCAGTTTATTCGTTTATATAGCTATTAACGTTTTAATCAAGGGGGATTTCGCCTTATTATGTCCTTCGTCTAAAATAAAAAAAAACACACTAAAAAATACTGAATTTGGGGCTACACAATACGTCAAAGTAGAGTATTCAAAACCTGTGGAATCCATTGAGTTAAGAATCCGTAATGAAAACCTCATGATTCGGTGACATCCATTCGGTTTGTTTCAAACAGGATTCTGTTTTTTAACGATCAAACTTTCTATGTGATGACGTTTATTTCAGTTATTCAACAGCCCGTGACCTTAGCAAAAATCTATTCCACGTGACTATTGAAAATGATTTTCAAGTTTCACTCGAAACAGTTCGTTCGCAATACTTTGTGTATGACACTAAGTCAACCGAAAGGAATGTATAATATCGTTTAAACATAGACTGGTCATATCAAGAAAATATAAAAAAATGCATATATGATTGTTTATTTTGTTCTCTAAAATCAAAAACTTAAGTTAATGTTTAATATTTTTATGTTAAGTATTTTAGTTTATCTTTATAATTGTAAACGTGTTTTTTATATTTACAATGCAAACGATTTTGAAAATGCTTATGTTTTCTTATTTAAAAATTCATGGAATCAATAAATATATAATATCATACGTGGGATAAATCATTATTAACAAGAACATGTGATATCCTTTCTGAAAAGGAATTTATGATGCAAATTATAGAATGCACGTGTTAAGCAATTCAGGCAGGAATATTAAACTAGAATCTATGGACATAGTAGCTTCGTTAATAAAATCCGTTTAATTGAAATTTACAATAACTTAAGGTAATCTTCTACATTTACCAGACTATACAAGCTCCTCATTTTGTACAAATAGTTTATACTCTGTTTATTACACTAATGAACGCGAAAGAAACAGATTTGCTGTTTAACTATTGTTTATTAGTAGTTAACGAACACTTATTCTTAATCTTCGGGAATTTTAAGTCTTCTTAAAGTGTTTGATTACTTTGAAACTGTCAAAATCTGTTATCTGGTTTTTCCTCAATGTTTTTCTAAGCATAGTTTTTTTTTAGAAATTATACAATGTTTTAGTCATACTTCTTACGAGTAATTGTAGGGAACAAGATGGTGACTTTAATTGATTATATTGTTTCAAGTCTTCAACTTGTGGTTAGAAAACAAAGTTGTTTAAATGTGAAGTATTTGATTTCGTCACAAACAAAACGGGGAAAATGGAAGAGAAATGGTGGACTAATGAACACTTTCTGGTGGTGGACTAATTAACACTTTCTAATGGTGGTCTAATTAAAACTTTCTAATGGTGGACTAATTAACACTTTCTAATGGTGGTCTAATTAAAACTTTGTAATGGTGGACTAATTAACACTTTATAATGGTGGACTAATTAACACTTTATAATGGTGGACTAATTAACACTTTCTAATGATGGTCTAATTAAAACTTTCTAATGGTGGACTAATTAACACTTTCTAACGGTGGTCTAATTAAAACTTTGTAATGGTGGACTAATTAACACTTTATAATGGTGGACTAATTAACACTTTCTATGATCGTGTTATTAAAAATATAGCTGTTTGCTTAACGGTGTTAATTAATGTTATATAATTTTGAAAAACTTGTTAATTATTTAATTCTGTTTTATCTACATGTGTTTCAAACGTACCGCTATATTTGCACATATTTTGCCTCGTTTCAATTGTCTGAGAAAAGTTTCCATACGAATTGTTACCTAGCAGCTTTACTATAAATATCACTTTACAGCACTACCAAAGTTTCACTTCACAGCACTACCAAAGTGTCACTTCGCAGCACTACCATATATATCACTTCACAGTACTACCAAAGTGTCACTTCATAGCACTACCATAAGTATCACTTCAGAGCACTACCAAAGTTTCACTTCACAGCACTACCAAAGTTTCACTTCACAGCACTACCATAAGTATCACTTCACAGTACTACCAAAGTTTCACTTCACATCACTACCATAAGTATCACTTCACAGCACTACCAAAGTTTCTCTTCACTGCGCTACTTCACAGCACTACTATAAGCGTTTCTTTACAGCGCTATCATAAGTGTCACTTGATAGCACTATTAAAGTATCATTTCACGGCACTATCAAAATGTCACTTCATAGCTCTACCATAAGTTTCACTCACAGCATCACAATAGGTATCACTGCACAGTACCACCACCGATGTTGAAGCAATTGTATTTCACACGACAAGCACATCGAGTTGTATAATCACTTCTGTACGATAACTTAATTTTATTATTAAAAACTTTGTACGCTCCAACACTGTAAAAATGTCATTCTTAGACGGCTGAAATAGTATACAATTATTGTGCGCACCTACTTTGAAGAGAGACGTGATATCTATATGATATACAAGAATTTTTAACGACATGTCCCAAAAAGATAAAAAGGCTTGGCATGAAAACGTGCTTATCTAGCTTCTTAAAAACATTTATGTTCAGAGAGTTGCCTATTTATCATAGGAATATCCATCACGTGCAAGACCCTTTTATTTTCCATTTAGATGCAAGACTCGAGTTGTTACCGTGGTACATGGTGTCGTCTGTCATCTGTCGTGAATTTTCGCTTTGAAGAGATAACTAATGAGTGCTGTATGAGATTATCACAAACTTTCCATCTATGTTCGCTTAGCCATGGATGCCGAACTGAGTTGGCTGACAGCCCATGAAATTACCGCGGAGGAATATGTCGGGAAGTCTGATGAACACACGCGTCATTGAAGCTATGCTAGGTTTTAATTGATTTTCACTCAAGTTTCAAAAAACCTTCGAAAAAAAAGTTCATATGAGGTGCAATTGAATATCACCTCCTAATCGGACATTTGAAAGTTAAGTTCAGTGTGCTAGCATCAAGATCACCATACGGTCCGGGCGTAGCCCAATGGTTAGTGTACCAGGAATGTAAATCGGGGATTCATGGTTCGCGACCCGCTACCGGAAAAAGTTTTCTACGCTTTGCAGCTGTAGAAGTTCTATAAGCGTGATGGTCAGACATGAATAGTTCCAGATCGGAATTAGAGAGAGCTATGCTATGCGGAGCTTTGCGCGTAATTCTGAAACAAACAAAATACAAGATCATAAAAAAAACAGCAGAAAACATGCAGATACTTGAGCTTGATTTTGTTCTAAACGTTTACCGTGAATAAGTACGAAAAACTAAAATTAGTCCCTTAGATGTTGGCCTAGTGGTCATTTTATTGTTATTAATGATGTCATACAGTACGTATTTCTAATATTATGTATAGTTTTAAATTTTTCTTCTCGGGTGTTAGATGTAAAATAGTGTTTCAGAAAAGCTTCCTTTTTGTGTTAGTAAATTCCTGTTTATGCTGTAGTTAAAGAAAAAAGGTTAAGATGTTTTTATTTTTCTAATTTATACCCGTAAGCATTCTGTGTTTAAACGTCTAGTGAGTAAAAAAAAGAAAAAAAGAAGACGAAGAAGCACAAAATATCGTTTAGAAATATGTTCATGTCTCAAACCCAATTTTGACACTGTAGGAAAAGAAAACTTGCTTATCGAAAAGTCTGAGCATGCTGCTGACTTCGCTTTAGTTGATGAAATCAACACGCATACTTCCTTATCCAAAGGAATCACGTGCGTCAAGGCATACTACACGTGGTTCGAGCAGCTGACGACTCCATGAAATAAAACATTTGAACGTTATAGATTTACGTGTTTTTGTTCACTCATATTTATACTCTGATACAAACGTAGCCCGGAGATAACTTATCTAATCTATTTACAAAATGCTTTTGAAGAAAATTCAACATTTTTTTTACAGACCATGACATATTCCCGAGCATCTTCTAACTTACTATTGTGTTATTGCCGATTTCTAACAAACAATATCAATATTCAAGTCAACTACAATTTTCCTATTTCTTTGTAACTTACTATTGTGTTATTGACGATTTCTAACAAACAATATCAATATTCAAATCAACTACAATTTTCCTATTTCTTTGTAACTTACTATTGTGTTATTGCCAACTTCTAACAAACAATATCAATATTCAAGTCAACTACAACCGAAGAATAACTTAAACGTCTCAAAGAAACGATCCTTATCACGACGGAACACTGACATCAGAAGTTATGCTGTAACTATGAAATTATCTTGTTTATTTACAAACTGTTTCATCCATGATTTGTATAACAAAGAGCATAAACTCTGTAGCAGGCTTATCTTGTTCAGTAAATTATTCTTTGGATCGTACACAATGACGTATATGATTGACCTATATCATATATTCAGGAAAAGTAATATTCCCATATTGAAACGGACTTGCGTTTTTAAGTTTTATCAGTGTTCAGTATGATTCCGTCTTGAACGTTATTAGATTTTTTCCTGTTTTTACATAAGTATTAAAACTCATTTCTTTACATAAAAACCGACAGCTATTGCAAAATTTAATTAAATCATTTTCCATATCAAATTATCCCTACTTTACTTTTTTTCCATATCAAATTATCCCTACTTTACCTTTCAACAACATATTGCTGTTGCTTTTACTCAAAATACAGTTATCTATCGATATATAAATATATAATGTTGATTAATTCAGTGTAATGGTTCAGCTCAACCATTTTGGCCGTAGATAAAAATCTCATAATGACCAGATTACTTCACTGTGCTTTTACTATGTTTCATTTATAAGCAAATTTCTAATTAAGGTTGAGAGAATTTTCAAAGTTGTGTGGAACTTTAAAAAAAAAAGACAAATAAGAGGTCTGAGAAAACAGTTTAGGAAAACCTATAATATTTTTGTTTAACCTTAATATAAGATTGATACCGGATAATCACAGTTTTCTAAAAATAAACGTATCAAATTATCTGGTCCAAACTGTATAATTTATATCTTTTTCAGGGCTAAAGATTTTGTTCTGTTGTTTACGTAAGCTGTGCCTGATCTTGAAGATTTTACAGTTTACCAGTTTAGTAAGGCATAGTCAGGTTACGAAGAATTACAACTTTATGGATATTGTTTAACGAATTGTTCTCTGAAACCTTTTCATGATGTATAGAACAACAGTTTGATGCATATGAACATTTAACGTAAATAAATGATTCACTGAAGTTGAACCATGTTCTGCTAAGTAAATAAAAACATAAGTTTTGTGAACATAAATATTTTATTCAAATTAAATCAGGTGTTTAAAAAACATAAATATTATGAAGTTGACTTGTTTATTCGTGCTAAACGAAGTTTAAAAAACTTTAATTTTATGAAGACGAAATGTTCACTGAAGTTAAATCAGATTATGGACCTGGCGTGACCTAGAGGTTAACGTGCACGGACTCTCAACCTGACTGGCCCTTTGGTGCATAAAAAGTGTTCTAAGTGTTTTATAGGAATATCAGTCAAATCTCACATTTCGGTCAGGCAAGAATTGCCCAAAATTTGACGATGAATGCTGCTAACTAGGTACATTCTTTCTAGTGTAGGCATGGCAGGTGGTTAGGACTCTCGACTCGCAATATGCTCGTGGGGGCGTTATAATGTCACGGTCAATCCCACTCTTCTTTGGTAAAAGAGTAGCCCAAGAGTTGGAGGTGGGTGGTGATGACTAGCTACACTGCTAAATTAGGGACTGCTAGCGCAGATAGCCCTCGTGTAGCTTTGTGGGAAATTCAAAACAAACAAACTTTCTAGTTTATCGGTTCAAAATTAGGGACGGCTATGTGCAGATAACCCTTGTGTAACTTTGCGCAATAACACTGAAACAAACAGACACTGTGTAAGACATTAAGGGGATAACCATTACTTTGTAATATGCCGTGAATTTTTGAAATTTCTGAGTGAAGACAGAAGTAGGCAGAACAGATATCATATGTTCTGTTTAGAAGAATTAAAACAAGGTTATGTTTGAAGGAGTCTGGAATGGAACTGTCAAAACGAGTGTATAAGCCAGTAAATGTTTTCTTACAGTAAATAGCTGTGTCCAAGAGATTGTTTATTTTGTTTATTTGAACGTCTAAAAAAGCTAAGTTATTGTTTTCTTCCATCTCACATGTAAAGTTTATGCATGGATGTTGTGAGTTTAGGTATTCTAAAAATTTCTTGGCGTGGTCAGTGTTGTGAAAGAGTAGAAAGTATCATCAACGTACCTTCTACATAATACTGGTTTGTAATAAAGAGGACAATTATCCAGCCATTAACGTTCGTAATAATATATCGCCACTCCGTCTATATGGTCATAAAGATGCAGATACTGTTTTTGAAAGAATAATATATTTACTGAATAACTTTGATATTTATTTGGAGTTACCCACAGTATACTCAAGGTATAATCTTTATAGGTTAATATATTATCTGGAGATTATTGATAGAAGTTTTGATCTAGCGAAAATGTAAATAGGAAAAGAAAAAATTAAATATAAGGACGATAATGAAAATCTTATATCGCTAGTCACAACTCATTGTCGAAAGATATCAGTTATATTCACAAACAAATTGATAAATTTAAGAATGTTTTTGAAAATTGTAAAATAATTTAGGATAAACGACGAGCTCCAATTTTATATAGATCGTTAACGTTTAAAAATTCTAGAGTAAAGAATAAAAAATGGTATTGTTTAATATGTACAAATAGATATCCTGAATTAGAAAATTTAACTGTTGGACCAAAAGGGCAGAAATTATTTAAAGTGAAAAGTGATTTTTATTGTAATGCTAAAAATTTAACTTATGTTTTAAGATATTCAATTGAGAATTGTATATTGGAGAAACTAATACTTTAAGAGTAAAAGTTAATTTACATAGGTATGTAAGAAATCCGGAATATTGTTCCCTCTTAGTAAGTAACTTTTTTTCTCTCTATAATTTTAATTATTTTTACTGATTGAATGATTTCTTAAAGCTTTCCTTTTGGAAATTGTAATGAACAAGAATAAAAACGTTAATCTTTGAAAAATAGTCTATTGATCGTTTTAATGCTCCTTTAAATTTTAATTGAAAGTCATTAAAAGACGAAATGTTTAATATATAGCAGTCCAGTGGTTTGGGCACAAATTTTTGATGCATTAGGTCGTCAAGAAATTAATGTCGCGTTTTGAAGTACTTTCATTAACTACCCCCTAAAAAAAACGTATATCACGTATAATAGTTAAACGAACTGCCTAAACATCATGTTAGTGTAGACTATATAGAGTTTAGTATACTCTAATCCCTTATAGTGATGGCACATGACGCAACACACATCAAAGAAGTTTATGGAAATGTTTTGAACGTTTGTAAGTGTCAACGATGGTTCAGCAAATTTCGTTCAGGTGACTTTAGCCTTAAAAACTGTGATGGCAGGGGCCGACATGTTGGAATTGATATTGATGCTCTAAAGACGCTTGTTGAGTCTAACCTAAGGCAACACACTCGTGAAATGGCCCTCAAATTGCATGTCTCTCGTGAAACAATACGTAAAAATCTAAGAAATATGGGGAAAACTCTATAAAGGTGTTTGTGTGCCTCACGAACTCTTCATTCCCTACGTGTGAACGTTGCTTCTTCTCTTCTGGCGCATAATGCGCGTGAACCATTATTGGACAGAATTGTTACCGGTAATGAAAAATGGATTCTCTGTGTGAATATTAAACGCTAAAAACAATGGCTCAGTCTTAGACAAAAACCACTTCCGACCCAAAAATCTGGACTCCATCCGCAGAAAGTGATGCTTTGCATTTGGTGGGACATCAAAGGAGTAATTCATTTCGAACTCCTCAATCCACAGCTAACTGTCAATGCAGAGATCTATAGTCAGCCATTGGAACGTTTAAATCAAGCCCTTCATCGTGTGACTCCTTTAACAAGGGAGTGAAACTAAACTGGTTAAATAAAGAAGTAAAGTGGTCGTGATGTATGAGATACGTATGGCACGTAGACCTTACTCGAACAAGTGAAACTGAGTTAATTGAAACAGCAGGCTTAAGAAATCCTATTTTAGGAGATATTTTTAAATAACTGGGAGATATTTTCATTTCTGTTTATTTTTTTCTTGTGTCTTATAACAATTAGACTTATGATTATAAATTTTATAGTTGCAATGTTTGAATTAACTTGGAGATGAAATGCTACTGTTATTATTTTTTGTTCAAGAAAAAATTCCAGGAAATTCCGTCGCTAATTTATCTATTTACCAATTTTCTACTTATTTATTTTTTACAGAGAAGTATTGCATTCACATCTTACACTAACATATAATTTATATTTAACCTTTTTAGTAACGTCTGCGGTTGTCAGAAAAATAATTTCCATGTTTTGTTTTTTGTAATTTCCCCCCTCTGTTTTCAAATGCCTCACTTTCTTTCCAGAACGATATAATACAGATTTCGTACAAGAACTAATTATATAGTTAAAAGTTCTCTACATTATTTATTCTTTGAACATATTAAAAAAAATGAAAAAATTTATTAGTTTCGCTTTTCGTTATGCCGTTGTTTAATTCTAGTTGTGATTTTTAGATTGTGTTACAAGACACGCCATATATTTTTTGAAGTAATACACAGAGCCTCAAGACCGATGTGTCCTCTGAGGCTCAGCAGTAGATCTGTAGGCATATAACGTTAATAATTGGGGTTCGATACCCGTGGTGGGTACAGTACAAATAGGCCATTGTAGCTGAGCGCTTAACAACAAACACAAATGAGACCAATGTAATATAACTATTAGCAGGGCAGTTT